GGGGCTTAGTGGTTAAGTATCCCCTGAGTTCAATTCCTAGTACCAAAATAAACAAACAAACAAAAAACATAAAATTGATTTTTTTTACAGGGGATTTAACCCAGAGACACTGAACCACTGAGCCACATCCTTACCCCTTTTATTTTATTTTTATTTTGAGACAGGGTCTCCCTAAATTGTTTAGGGACTTGCTAAGTTGCTGAGGCTGGATTTGATCCAATCCTCCTGCCTCAGCCTCCCAAGCCACTGGGACATAAAATGGAATCATAAAAGATACTCAAATAGTCCAAAAGATACAGAAAAAGAGAAAATGGAAGACAGAACAAGTGGGACAAATAGAAAACAGGAAGATGATAAATTCAAATCTAAGGATACCAATATCATATAAAGTCAGCGATTGTCAAGTTAAATTTAAAAAATCAAGAACCAATTATATGCTTCCCATAAGAAATATATGATAACTATAACTATACAAATAGGTTAACAATAAAGGGATTGAAAAAGGTACCATAAAGGTAATCAAAATAATCCTGTAGTTATTGTATTAATATCAGACAAAATTTATTTTAGAACAAATATTAGCAGACACAAAGAAGGTCATTTTATAATAAGTGGGAAAATTTGTCAAGAGAACAGAACAATATTAAATGGGTACTTCATGGTCTGGGACTGTAGCTCAGTGGCAGAGCATGTGTGAGGCACTGGATCTGATCCTCAGCACCACATAAAAATAAACAAATAAAGGCATTCTGTCCATCTACAACTACAAAAAAATTATTAAAAATGTGCACTTTGGGGCTGGGGATATGGCTCAAGCGGTAGTGTGCTCTCCAGGCATGCGCGGGTCACTGGGTTCGATCCTCAGCACCACATAAAAATAAAGATGTTGTGTCTACCGAAAAAGCTAAAAAAAATTTTAAAAATGTGCACTTTGTAACAGAATTTCAAAATAAGTGAAACAAAAACTGAAGAACTTCAAAAAGCAATAAGCAAATCCATAATTATGGTTAGAGATTTCAACACATTCTCCTTTCATTAATTGGCAGAACAAGCATGCATAAAAACAGAAAGGAAGCTGGGTGTGGTGGCACACACTTGTAAACCCAGCAGCTGGGGAGAGGAGGCCGAGGCAGGAGGATTTTGAGTTCAAAGTTAGCCTCAGCAATTTAGTGAGGCCCTAAACAACTTTAGCAAGACCCTGTCTCAAAATAAAGGGCTGGTTATGGCTCAGTAGTTAATCATTTCTAGGTTCAATCTCTAGTATCCAAAATTAAGAAACAAACAAACAAAACCCATAGTGATATATTAGACTCAACACTATCAATAAACTTAAACACTACCAACCAACTTGACCTAACTTATATTTATAGAGCCCTCACAACACAGCAGAGTGTACATTCTTTCTTTTCTTTTTTTTCCTGTTATTGTTGGTACCAAAGATTGAACCCAGGGGCTCTTAACCACCGAGCAACATCTCCACTCCATTTTATTTTATTTTTTTATTTTGAGACAGGGTCTCAGTAAGTTTCTGAGGCTAGCTTTGAACTTGCCATCCTCCTGCCTCTTAGCCTCCCAAGCTATTGGGATGAGAGATGTGCACCACCAGGGCTGGCTTCAAACAGGCATGGAACATTCACTAAGATATACCATAATCTGGTTGTAAAACATGTCTCAATGAATTGAAAAACATTCAAGTCGTACACAGTATGTTCTCTGACCACATAAATATATACAATAAAATAAAGCACTAAGCCCCATGTTACTCAGTAGGAAATTGACAGCTGAAAGAAAGATCCCTAGAAAATTCCTTAATATTTGGGAACTATATAGCATATCTCTGATTTTATTATAATCTTGAAAAAACAAGGTCCTCAGGTCTAATCTAGGGCAAAAAATATACACTGAGTAACTGTCATAGAAGAAAGAAAAACTTGATTTTCCAGTATAGAGTACATGCTGTTGATATTCATGAAGGAGTTAAATTAGAGTTAAGATACAGTAGTTCTTTGGGGCTAACAGCCTATCATTAGGGGGATTTGATGTGGATCCATTCCTGTCATTTCCACTTTCTCAGTCACCTGATTCCTTGGGGGCAAAGACTCTTGGTAGAGACTAACTTTGCAAACACTTTAATGGGTCTACCAGGGGCCAATTATTCTCATTTCCTCATTTGTCTCCTAAAATCTCATCAATGAATACATCCTTCTTCTTAGATGTGAGCTGCCCCAGGGAAAAGATGTCTCTAGGGTGTCCTCTGTGAGCACAAGATAAGTTGTGAGGAGCTCACAGGGAGTGTGTGATCACCATACTACTCTTACCACGTGAGAGGTTAAAGCCAGTAGTAGGCTCTGGTCCCCAGGCTCAGTCAGTGCACACGAGGAGTCTGGCTTTGTCTTCATGGTTCTTCCACTGAAGGCAAGTGTTATGAGTACCAGAGCAACAGCTCTACCACCATGTCATGTGCATGGCTGGAATTAAATGGTTTGTTTAAGAATATCTTGACTATTCTGAGGAGGAAATTCTCTGGTGTTGGATTACCATCAGGTGTCTGAAAGTTGTTAACTATTGATAGATCTTCTGGAGCGAAGATAAAGCCCAAGACAAGCATCCTACTCACAATCTGACTTCCCAGGACCCAAAGAATTCTGGCAAGTTAGGAAAGAATATTTGTATGCAGTTTAGGAAGATTTGTCTACTCCTTCAAGTTTAGTCTTGGTTTAGTCTTTCTCAACATGTGGTTCAGAGACTACCTGTTTCCAAATCACCAGATTTTGGTGTCTGGCTATGGATCAAATTCGCTGCAATGCAGACCTGCAACCTGCACATACAAGTTCCTCAAGTGAACTTTGGGCGAGGAACTTTATTGTTTGATAACCATTTTTTGGAATCATTGTTGCTTAAAGAATCTCCCTGGATGCTTGCCCATCATATGTTCTCTCACTGTGCTATCACAGGGAGGAAATCAAGGAGTCAGGGGTAAATAAAGTCCCCTGCCTACTCCTCATGCATTGCTGGCTGCAGGCATTTGCCCTAACTCCTAGACAGTCCACTCCTCCATCTATTCCCTTATGATAAGTCTACCTTTAAGTTGTGTTTATTTTGTGTGTGTGTGTGTGTGTGTATGTGTGTGTGTGTGTGGTGTTGGCGATTAAACCTGGGGCTTTGTGCATGCAAGGCAAGCACTCTACCAACTGAGCTATATTCTCAGTTCCACCTTTAAGTTTTATTCCTACTTTTCACTCACAGGTATGAAATTCAGTGAACAGAAAATAGTGGTTATTCCAGAATTCTTTGAAAAACTGTCAGAGACAACAATTTCTCCATAATCCCTTCCATAACTAACTGTATAGTCTGAAGAATTTTGAATTTAGTGTAGATTGGAGAAAGGAGATGAGGGAGGAAAGAGGAGGAGAGAAAGTAGATTTAAATCAAGTAATAAATCTGGAGACTCTGATCAGCTATCTGCTGTACTACCCAGCGCGCTACCCTAACCTTTCCTATCACTCCATCCCAGCACAGGCGCCCTGTCTGTTCTTTCAATCAGAGAGATACTTGCAGCATTGTTGCCTAAACTGAAACAGTCTATTGAGGAAAGAAGATGAGAAGCTGGGTCTCTACTTTTAATGCAATCTGATTATTTTCTTAAAGTTCCTGTAAGTTATTTCTACCCTGAGAGCTCTGCTGTCCATTCCTCTGAAGTCCTGTAATTTACCTTGTTGCTGAGTTGGCCTTAGACACCAAAATGGGGCCAATGTATTTGCAGCCCAAATCTAGTACTGCCACATTCTACAATATTAGAATTTATATAAAGTATCAGCTCCAGAATCTTTGCTCAATAAAACTCTTTCCCCTCCTGAATCCTCATAATTTCTTTTAAGGTGTGCTATTTACTTATTCTCCTCAGGGCCAGAAGAGGTGGCTCAATTTTGTCCTTCTCTGTCTTTCCCGGTCATGCTTTCTGGTGTTCAAGTCTTTACAACTGAGGGTCCTCACAGAAGAGGATTTAACCCACTGCAGGACCCAGAGGTGATTCAGGACACAGTGGAAGAGGAGCCAATGGAGCAAGGGAGAGTATAATACTTAGGTGGTGCATGTTCAGCTGTGTCCATTCTGAACAGAAAAGGCATTTTGACAGAGCTTTAGTCTTGGAGAGGGGCTGATCCTTCCCTGTGGCTCAATAGCCTCTGCATCCAGGGTAGTTATATTCCCTGGGAATGACTGGTGCCTTCATGAACAACGGGTGGTGATTTCATCTTGGTTGATGCTCCCGAGTTCACAATCTCAGCTTGCTCTTTACACCACTCTCATTCCTCCGTTTCCTCAGCCCTGTGAGTTCACAGGGGCAGTTTTATAGCTGAGCCAGTGAGCCACCTTCAGCTCCTCTGAAATCCATCTCAGTCACTCTTGATTGGCACATTTCTTTGTCTATATTGTTTGGTAGTTGGTTACTTGCTAAATTTTGTTGCTGTTTTATCTCATTTATTATGTTTGTTTATGTATTAGGTCTATCTCCCCAAAAAGAACAATGGTAGCTAATACTCCTTGGACTTTCTCAACATGCCCTTTGTTCAAGGGCTCATTGAATTTTTACAATATTTTGAGATAAGTACTGTGATCCCTGTTTTACCGATGAGAAAACGGAAACTTGGGGAGGTTAATTTACATTTCCAAACCCACACAACTTCTTAGTTAGTGATAAAGCCCCAGCTTTGAACCTTGACAGTTTGACACCAGAACCTTTGTTTACATAAAATACTCTGTCTCTAGAATACAAACTTCCAGGGGTCAGGCACTCTTGAATTTCTGATAGGGAGAACACAGTGCTATGCATATAGAAAATTGAGAATATATATTTGGTGAGTGAATGTTTTATTATTCAGAAATTTTTAAGATCTCTGTGAGACCAAATTGTGTATATTCCTCTTATAGTTTTCTGTTGTTGCTCAAGTAATGCCTACTAATATAACCATACAACCAATCCCATAGAGAAGACCCCATCTATGACAGAGTCCTATCTGCAAAGTCAGATTTCTTCAGAAAGACTAATCTCAAGAAGGTGGTCCTTCGGGCAGAACTAAACCCAATAAGAGCCCCTGGGTGTTCAATCTCACTTACAGTAGTGCCCACACTTGTGGTGCTTCCTGGAGCACAATCCCACGCTCACTTCAGAGCACTGGAAAAACATGGAAGGGAGAAACCTGAGCCGAGGGACTGAGTTTGAGCTCTTGGGTCTCACCAGTGACCCTCAGCTCCAGAGGCTGCTCTTTGTGGTGTTCCTGGGGATCTACACCATCACTCTATTGGGGAACTTGCTCATGTTCCTCCTGATTCATGTGAGTGCCACCCTGCACACGCCCATGTACTCCCTCCTGAAGAGCCTCTCCTTTTTGGATTTCTGCTATTCCTCCACAGTTGTCCCCCAGACCCTGGTGAACTTCTTGGTCAAGAGAAGGGTGATCTCCTATCTGGGCTGCATGGCTCAGATGTTCTTCTATGCGGGTTTCGCCACCAGCGAGTGCTATCTCATCGCAGCCATGGCCTATGACCGCTATGCTGCTATTTGTAACCCCCTGCTCTACCCAACCATCATGTCTCCTGAGGTCTGTGCTTCTCTGATTGTGGGCTCCTACAGTGTCGGGTTTCTTAATTCTCTTATCCACACAAGCTGTATCTTCAGCCTGAAATTCTGTGGTGCTCACGTGGTCACTCACTTCTTCTGTGATGGACCACCCATCCTGTCCCTGTCCTGTGTGGACACTTCACTGTGTGAGATCCTGCTCTTCATCTTTGCAGGTTTCAACCTTTTGAGCTGCACTCTCACCATCTTGATCTCCTACATCTTAATCCTCATCACCATCCTGAGAATGAGCTCAGCCCAGGGCAGGTTCAAGGCATTTTCCACCTGTGCTTCCCACCTCACTGCCGTCTGCCTCTTCTTTGGCACAACACTTTTTATGTACCTGCGTCCCAGGTCCAGCTACTCGCTGACCCAGGACCGCACAGTTGCTGTGATCTACACGGTGGTGATCCTGATGCTGAACCCATTAATTTACTCTTTGAGGAACAAGGATGTAAAGGAGGCCTTAAGAAAGGTTTGGAGCAGGAAAACAATGGAATGATCTTCTCAACTCACTGCCACGTGTCTTCGGAAAGCAGAGGGAACTTACTGTATGTGGTGCTTCCTGGGCACAGTACCTGCCTCAGGAAGAACAGATGGTGTCTTAGAGACTAAGTGGGAAGGGACTGTCTGCTTGTTGCACGACTAGACCCACTGGAAAGATGTAGTTATGCCTTTGTTCTGATGCTTCCTTTATATTTCAAGGTTTGTGAATATAGATCACAAATGAATATAGATATTTGTACTCTTCATAATAAAGTTATTCCTTAACTAACTGGAAGATATTGGCTCCTTGAGGAAAACTTTCCTATTCTTTACAATCTTCACCTCATAAAAACTGCCTTGCCGGGCACTGTGGTACATGCTTGTAATCCCAGAGGCTTGGGAGGCTAGACAGGAGGATCCCAATTTTGAGGCCAACCTCATCAACTTAGCAAGGCCCAAAGCAATTTATGGAGACTCTGTCTCAAAATTAAAAACAAAAAGGGCTGGGGATGTGTCTCAGTGATTAAGTGCCCCTGTGTTTAATCCTGGTATTAAAAAACAAAAACAGAACAACACAAAAACCCTACTATCTTTCATCAAATGCCTCTTAAAAAGCTCTTGACAATCCATATGGACTTTATTTTTGTTTCTGTGGTGAATTGAAGACAGATTTCCTAATGTTAAACCTTTCTTGAATCTTGAAATTCTTTTTTATTGTGAAATAATTTCATTTTAATAGACTGTTAGATTTGATTTGTGTATTTAGACTCTTGGCCTCTGTATTCAAAGATAAAATTGATTGTTTGTGTTATATTTATAATGTTTTAATATTAAAAGCAAGCTAGTTTTAGAAAATATATTGGAGTTTTTTCTTCTTTTCCTATAGTGTGGATTTATTTATTTGTTTATTTTTGAACCGCCATATATGGAAGTTTTTTTTCCATTACTGGTAATCGAATCCAGTGGCACTTTACCACTGAGACACATCCCCAGCTCTTTTTTAAGCTGCTAAGGTGGCCTGCTTATGAATCTCCTGTCTCAGCCTCTGGAGTAACTGGACTTATAGGTGTGGGCCACCGCACCCAACAGTATATGTCATTTTTTTTGGTGGGGCGGGTACCAGGGATTGAACCCAAGGGTGCTTAACCACTGAGCAACATCCCCAGCCATTTTTTTTTAAATATTTATGTTTTAGTTGTAGTTGGACACAGTATCTTTATTTTATTTATTTCTTTTTATGTGGTGCCAAGGATGGAACCCAGGGCCTCGCACATGCTAGATGAGTGCTCTACTGCTGAGCCATAACCCCAGCCCCCTTTATATTTTTTATTTTTATTTTTTGGTACTGAGATTAAAGTCAGGGGTTCTCAACCACTGAGCTACATCCCCAGCTTTATTTTGTATTTTATTTAGAGAAAGGGTCCCGCTGAGTTGCTGAGTGTCTTGCTTTTGCTGAGACCAGCTTTGAATTTTGCAGTCCTCCTGCCTCAGCCTCAGATTACAGTTATGGGCCACCATGTCTGGCTAGTATATACAATTTTTAAAAATATTTATTTATTTACTTTGTGGTGCTGAGGATTGAACCCAGGGCCTCACATGTGCTAGGCAAGTGCTCTACCACTGAGCTACAACCCCAGCCCCAGTTTATATCATTTTATTTTTATTTTAATAAAATTGGTGCTGGGGAGTGAACCCAGGGGTGCATAACCACTGAGTCACAACCCAGCCCTTTTTAATTTTGAGACAGGGTTTCCTAACTTGCCTAGGACCTCCCTAAATTGCTGGGGCTGGCCTTGAACTTGTGATTCTCCTGTCTCAGCCTTGTAAGCTGCTAGGATTACAGGCATGTGCCACAGCACCCAGCATATATACCATTTTAGAAAAGCAAATCTGTCTTTCATTTTTTTCTTTTGTGGTACTGGGGCATTGAACCCAGGAGTGCTCTTCTACAACTGAACTACATCCCCATCCCTTTTTATTTTTTATTTTGAGACAGCTGTAAATATTCCTTTCCTATTTAAATTACTCCAGGCCAGGTATGGACTGAAATCCCAGCCACTCAAAAAGCTGAATCAAGAAGATTACAAATTTGAGGGCAGCCTAGGCAATTTAGCAAGACTTTGTCTCAAAATTAGAAAGGGGTGAGATGTAACTCAGTGGTAAAGTGCCCCTGGATTCAATCCCCATACCAGAAAAAAATAAATAAATACAAAAATAAAGATATATAGTCAATTGTAAAATTGACTGATTGATTGATGCCTTTTTAAAAAGTAGATCTCTAATTACTTTTCCAATATCTTATATGATTATTAGTTCTTATTTTAGTTGTTTCCCTCCTAATTAAATCAATTTGATTATGTGTATTTTGCTGTAGAATTGTTTCCTTTCTCTAGCTTTTCAAATTTATTGCCATGGAGTTGCACATAATATTCTCTTAGACATTTTGTTCCTGCTTTCTAGGTCAATGCCATCTATATTGGCTTCCCCAATTTCCTGCAGATCGTTTACTACATTTTTTAGAACAATTTAAAAAACTTTCTTCCATAAAAAGGAAAATGCATTCAGTGGTTTGAAAGGGTCTTCTGGGCTCTATTACTCCATGAGATGACTGAAGACAGGCAGTGATGAGGAAGGATTGACAGATACACCCAAATACTAGACTCACTGAATTCCCACACCGCTGTATCCTTACTGACTTTCTTGGAGAAGTTCTACCTCTCTGGCTAAGATATTTTCATTGGGGTAATGGGAATAACAATAAAATTTACTTTATGTATGGAATTGTGAAAATTAAATAATATACTGTCTAAAACAGTGTATGGTACATAGCAGCTCTTTCAAAGATATTAACTCCTGTTATTTATTTTGTTTGTATATGTTGTGAGATTGTACTATTCATTCTTCATATTTTTGTTTGTTTTCCTTTCCTTAGTAAAGCCGGACAGAGAGTTCCATTAATATTTTGCTTTGGAATTTTTTCCCCTCATTTCTGCAAACTATCAGTTTCTCATTTTATGAATTTTAAGTTTTTCTTTTTGATTCCTCTTTCCTCTTTTGGGGGGTTTATTTTGTTTTTCTTTTTGTCAGGTTAAAATGTATATCTATGTATATTTCTATATTGTCTTACAATGCTTCTAGTATGTCTAAGTTTCCTATCTATTAACTATCTGCCTATATTATAAAGATTAAGCAAAAATGAAAACATTCACAATCCAGAGACAATATTATCAATCCACTGAGAGCCATTCTTGCTTTTATAGGGTGTTTATTCGTGTCTTTTTCTTTTTGGTTTCTAGTTTAAAATAATATTTCCTATGCTGAAATTGAACTTTTCTTGATTAAGTGTGTGGCAGATATCTTCACCTGATCTGTCTTTTAAAAGTATAATTGAGTCAGAGTTTTCCAGGAAAACAGAATCAATAGGATACATATAAATATATGAGAATATTTATTGTGGGAATTGGCTTGCGTGATTATGAAGGTTTAAAGGTCCTACAATATGCCATCGCAAACTTGAGGACCAGAAAAGTCAATAGTATAAGTTAGTCCAAGTCTAAAGGCCTGAGAATTAAGAAGGATGGTGGTTAAGTCCTGGAGTCCCCAAAGCCCAAGCAATAAGAGTTCTGATGTCAAGAAGATGGATATAGCAGCTCAAGAAAGAGAGAATGCACCCTTTCTCCACCTTTTTGAACTATTGCTGCCCTTGATGGATTGGATGCTTGCCTACATGAAGTAGGATCAGCCCTACTGATTCAAATACTGAGCTCTTCTAGAAACATCCTCACAGACTCACTAGGAGCACCGTTTTACCTGCTGTCTGGGCATTTTGTAACTTACTCAAGTCAACACTTGATACTAACCACCACAGTCATTTATTTTTACTGTTTCTATGATGTCTTCATTAGGTCTGGAGAGGTAGCTCAGTTCTAGAGCACTCTCCAGCACACAAGAGACTCTGGGTTTGATCTCTAGCACAGAGGGAAAAATTGTGCAAATTCTATGATGTCTTGGTTAGAAGAAGGTCTTAATTTTAATATCAGAATATTTCCCAATCATTTTATTCTCAGTGAATTTATTTATTTACTTATTTGTTCGTTCGTTTATTGAAGTACTGAGGATTGAATCCAGAGGCACTCTACTACTGAGCTACACCCCCAGTCCTTTTTATTTTTATTTTGAGACAGGGTCTTACTGTTGCCAAGGCTGCCCTTGAATTAGCAATCCAACTCAGCCTCTGAAGTTGCTGGGATTATAGGTACACATGGTGCCCAGACCTACTGTGAGTTTTAAAATATGTGTCTTAAGAATCCTTCCCAGGGCTGGGGTTGTAATTCAATGACAGAGTGCTTACCTAGCAGGTGTGAAGAACTGGGTTTGATCCTCAGCACCACATATAAACAAACAAACAAATAAATGTCTTGTGTCCATCTACAACTAAAAAATTCTTTAAATAAAAGAATCCTTCTCAACCATAAGATCATAAAAATATTCTCTTACGTTTTCTTCTAAATGTCTTCCAAAAGTTTTGCCTATACATTATTTTGTTACTAGGGTGGATTTAAATTTATCTTTTCTTATTTCAAAAGACATGCCCCTCAGGAGGCTGAGGCAAGAGGACCGGTAGTTTAGAGCCAGCTTCAGCAGTTTAATAGGCCCTGAACAACTTATCGAGATCCTGTCTTTAAATAAAATATAAAAAGGACTGGGGATGTGGCTGAGTGATTCACCCATTTGTATTTATCTGTACTGACTAGATTACAACAGGTTAAATATTCATTATCATGAAAGCTTTGGACTAGAATGTTTTGGATTGGGGATTTTTTTCCCGAGATTTTAGCAACAGGACTTCAAGTCAAATATGAACTTCATTTATGTTTCACCTACACTTTAGTCTGAAGATAATTTTATATAATATTTTAAATTATTTTGTATGTTAAATGAAGTTTGTATATCTTAAACCATCAGAAAGCGAAGGTGAGCTGGTGTGTTGGTGCATACCTGTAATGCCAGCAACTT